ATCTGAAATAGCAGCTTGGTAAAACTTGAATTAAATACCAAAGTAGTAAGGATATATTGTGAAGTTAGTACTAAGGTTGGGATAAATTCTACAAAAGCATAGCAGTTTAATAGTATGTCCTAATTGCTAGTATTGGTCTCGATCATAGTAATATTAGGTCAGCTATAAGAATAAAATACAGAAGATTCTAGAAGGTTGAATACAAGATTAAAGGTTTCAAAGAACTGCTTTAAAGACTTAGTGGCCATGACATATTTTCACTAGGATTAGCTAAGATTGTTGATAGACAGAGATAAGTAAATGGATATGGAAACTAGAATAGTTAAATAGAGAACTTACAAGGAGATTTCAGGTATAGCAGCTAGTATAAAACCTTTAAGTAAACTACTTAAATTAGACAATAACTAAAGTTATATGAGTAGCTAGTTGTACACTCTTTCTATATTGCTCTTGTAGTTATAATGCAACTATTAGCCAAATATACTATTAATAAAATTCTGGGTTACAAGTACTCACTTTAATATTTAAAATAAATAAATAAATATCATTAAATATTATATTAAATATATTTAATTAACTAAAATATTATCTATAAATAATTAAGATAATATAATTATATTTATCTATATTATTAAATATCACTAAACTATTATAACAAAAGATATTTTTTAATATTATTAAATATTGTTAAATAATATAATTATTAACAAAAATCATTATTAAAACTTTAAGAAAATATAATAATATATTTTATATATACAAAAATCTATAAATTATTATATATGCATAGCCTTATCGTTAATATTAAAAAAAAAATAAATTATTAAATATATTAACAAAATATTATTTAAAATAATAAAAAAATTTATTAGCAAGTTGATAAAATATCTTCTGATAATTTATCTAATTATTAAAATATTAGTAAATATTTTTTTTATAATATTTTTATTTACTAAATAATATTTTAGTATTTAGTTTAAAATATTATTTAAGATATAACAAATTATATAACTATTTTTAAATTATTATCTTTTTATTATATTATTAAATTATATATATTTTTTAATATATTAGTTACTTACTGTTAATATTTAAAAAAAAATAAAAAATATATTAGTTAATTATCTATAAGATAATTAGTTTGAATATTTTAGTTAATATATTAAATTTTTTCTATAATTAATATAATATAATTTATATTATCTAAATATCATTTAAAATAACTAAAAAATTTTATTAACAAGCTAATAATATATCTTTTTATAATTTATTAAATCTTTAATATATAAACATACTATTATTAAAATATTACCTTATATCTTTTTTATAATAATAATATTTTTTAGATAAGATTTTGATAATTCTTAATGTTTATTATTAAAGATTTAACAAATTTTTCTACTATCTTAATAATATTAGCTTATTTTTAAATTTTTCTAATTTTATAATAGTCAACAAGCTATTAGCTAGCTATTGCTTAGATAGTTGTTTATTAATATTTAGATTATATTTTTGATTTTGATCTATGTTAGTTAGGATAAGATATCTGTAACTATAGTCATATCAGCATGACTGACAAGTCATAAAGCATCTGTGAAATGTCAAAGTTATACAGAGAAATGCAAACTAACATTGAGCAATACAAATCTAAAATAAGTTCTTGTAACTATATAATTTTGTAAAACTAAAAAGCTAAAGCCCACTTAAGAAGACCTGAGCAGAAAGATAATATGGATTTTCATTAGTACTACTATAAAGACTAAATCTAAAAAATAAATATTAATATAGAAAAAATTAAGTAGTCAAAAATCTTAAGTAAGAAGTACTACTAATCAGGCTGCCAGAAATCTCAAACTAAAGAAAAAGAAACTTAAAAAATGAAATTTTAGAATATCAGAAACAGGTTACAGTCCTTCTAAGTTATCTGAATTAAAAGTTTGAGAACTAAAGTAAAGTATAACTTAAGTACTAGAGATATACTATAAAGTTAGTACTAGAGTCTAAGTAAACTTTGCAAGGGCAAGTCCTGTTAACAAAAGATTAAATATGAGTAGTTAGTTAGTAAAAGTGTTCTCTAGAGTTTACAGTTAGATGATATACTCTAAAATATGTAATAGTTTGATAGATATATAGACAGAAAGGTCAAGGTTAGATTAGATAGCATTTTACTATACAAGAACTTGTATACTATCTGTTAGGTATAGTATAGAGGTCATCTTATACAAATTATGTAATCGTAATTAAAATCACAATAAAAACAGTAACTACTAATAACTAATAGCTTTAGTAAAAGCAAAAAAATATATATATATTTGCAGCTATAAACATTATTTGTTAAACTACTATTTTTTATTCTTATAAAGTTTACTAAACTTTAATACTTATCTTTTTAAAGTTTTTTCTATTATTTTTTACTAAGATTTTTTTATTCAAAATTAATAAAACTTTTTAAATTACTAGTTTAAATAATCTAACATAGTATATTTTTGTATTTTTTTTTAGCAAATTTGATAATTTAATTAGTATATATGCTTTTCTCACATACTTATTATTTGGTTTATTTATCTTTTTCTCCAAAAAATATTTATAAATTTTTATTAGTTCAACAGTACTGTTAAAAATTTTATTATCTTTTTACTTAAAAATTTTTAAGTAAGCTTTTGACTTTTTAATTCCTTGGTTTTTTGCAGCTAGTAGTCTTATTGTAGATTTGCACTAATTTTATATAACATTAGTTTTAACATTTATATATATATATATATGTATTATTATGCTTTATAAAAATGCTTTAAGTTTCTATTTAAATAATGCAACTGAAAGTTATTGATATACTAATTCAACTGACTGTCAAGAGTCAGTTTGTTATAATACAGATATAATTTTCAAATTTTGTTATAAATAAAATTTAAATACTAAATCTGCTACTTGAAAATTAACAACTTAACTACTATTTCAAATTACTACATTTTTTTAAAATTATATTTTGAATATAAATAAATATAAATTTTTACTAATAATACATGTAAAAGTTTATTTACAAAATTTAAAATTTGATTAGTTAATAATCATGTTTTGATTAATATTAATTAATTATATAAATGTTGTTCTATAAGAAGCATACTCTAAACATAATATAAGAAACATACTTCAGCTTAAGACATGTCTTTTTGAACATGCTTAAAAATTTTTTTGTGCCTTCAACTCTATTTACAAACAATTAAACAAAATCAAATACTAATAACTAAACATTGTAATTGTCCGGAGGACACTTAATTACTATGCAAAGTGATACAAAAGTTATATTTTTGATGCCTCCAAAGTATCATTTCTGATTCACTCATAATAAAATATCGAAAATGTAACTTTGAATTTAATGTCTGTCTCCATTTACATATTAGTATAACACAACAAATCTTATGTGATTTCACTTCGGACTTATAATGAGAAAGTTAAAAATTATTGTAATATAAATATTATAATTTATATCTAATTTGAGGATTTTTTTATATAGTAAAAATTCAAATTTATATACAAATAACCTTTAATAGAAGAAATCTTTGATATAAAAAAAGATTTTTACAAGTTTCAATTGAGAATTTTTATAATAAAAAGCATTTGATATAAAAAAATCTTAACATAAAAAAAGATTCCAGTAATTTTCTTATATTAATAGTTACTTGCAATTTAAAAAATATAAACCTTTAAGTTTTTTTGACAGACTTTTGTTAGCAAGAAATGTTAACCTTATAAAATTGGTTGTATATTGTAAATTATAAATAAAAATATTTAATATATTAATTTATATAAAAATGGTTGTACTATATTAGTTTGATTGTTTATTTATAATGCTTGTATGTATAAATTTTTTAATAATTGTAAAAAGTAAGTAGACTGTAAATCCAAATATTAATTATTGATTTATTTTACAGTATATCGTAGTTAAAAGTTTTTATGTATTTGATATTATTTAAGTAAAAGTTGATAAGTGAAAAAAAAATAAAAATGCGATAAGTTGTTTGATGTCCAGTTCAAAATCATTCGATTTTTCCGATATATCCTAAGACCACACAAATTTAATACCTTTGAACAGACCCGGTCGGCTTTTTTTAAAAATTTCCTATATAAAATTTTATAATAATTTTTTTAAAAATCCACTCAGATATTAAAAAACATTTTTTTTTACGAGTTTTCCAAATTTGACCCGGCCGGGTTATGAAAACCACAGGTGGAACAATAAACCTTTTTCATAAAGTTGTGATCTGCAGCTTTTCCAAATATTTTCCATATGTTCTAAGCTCTTTCTGAACCTCTTTCATATGTAACTTAAAAGGTTAGAAAATGCTTGAAAAGGTTATATGTCATACCAAAGATTTTTGAAAGAATGCTTGCCGAAAAAGTTTATTGTTCTACATGTGTTTGTACCAATATAGATGTTCGAAAAATCACATTCAATTAACGGAGGTCTTGTGGTTCGCGCCTGAATATGTGCATAGTAGGCCTATTATTAGAGAGGATTTTTAATACAGCCATTTACAGTTCATTTACGGTAAACGTTAAACCATTTTATGTTTTTGAACAAACGCACTGTAATACAGTAATAATGTTTATATTATACATAAAAATAATGCAAAAAATCTCGTAATATACACCACACAATCAAGTACTCCTTTATATCACTATCGTAATGTGGCAAACAATGTCATCAAATTAGGTCATTTAGCATATGATTCAAATGAAATCCCAAAAAGAAAAATAATTACCTCAATAGAACAGAGGTTTTTTTTTGTGGATTTTATGAACTTATGTATTCAAATCAAAGAAAAATGCAATTAAAAAAACCAAGTTTTCTAAAAAAATTCAGTGGTCAAAAATATATTTAGAATAATCATGATGCTTTGACGATCTAATCATGATTTCTAAGAATAAATTGAGTACGAAAAGATGATAATTTAGATATTTAATGGACAAAAAAATTTTAAGAAATTCAAATCAACAAAAAAATGAACGAAAATTTTCAATCCATGATTTCAATCGTTGAACCAATTACCCCTGATGACTACGATCCTGTGCAAAATCAAGCGGTAAATAATGCGCAGAAGTTAATCAAACCTCCATTTCCACCCATGATCGATCCTTGTGATTTAATCGTTTTGCGTCCAGATGGTCATGTTCCTAGAACTCCCAACGCCTTTATAATCTATCGAAAATTATTCGTTAAAGCCGCATCTATTTACAAACATAATTTACCCATGAGCATTATTTCTTCTATAGCATCTAAATCATGGGAACAAGAACCGGATGATGTCAAAGGAGAATATAAGAGAATTGCAAAGGAAGCTTTTAATTATCGTAATAAATTATTTCCTGGACTTAAGAGTGTAAGCAGGAGAAATCGATGGAGAACAATTTTATTTAATAAGCCTTATATTCGCAAGATTAGAATACCTAAATCTAGGAAATCTATCAATAATAAGCACACGAAACCAAAACAACCCAAATCACCAATTACATCTACTTCGAAACTTGAAATTGGTGGTTTAAACGAAATTAGTTCACCGACCCTTAATTTGTATGTAGACTGGACCAATCAAGATATTCCAATAGTTTCAAGTCCCAACTTATCAGTGATTTCTAGTGATAACGGTAACAATTTGCATAATGATAAAGATCATGAAAGTGAAAGTCATCCGGAAATTTCCTCTTCTGTACAAAACTTTAGCCTATTAACGTTAATTCAGGCACAACAACAATTAAATTTGTCACGAATTGATAACAACATTGCATGTGACAACCATTTATTCGTTGATGAATTTGGAGCTTCGGCTTTCCCTGAAGATAATTTATTTGAGATCTTTGATTTTCAAAACACGATCTCTTTGGATCGTTTATGAACATATGAAAGACCAGTCTTTTCCGATTTATTTGACTCGACATGATATAAACGAGGATATATTATCTTATGAGTAGTGTATAAAAATCAATGGGTGTACAATGTGCACGTTTGTGCACATTGTACACATTTTTATGCATTACTGCATTATGTAATTTAGATTTTATGCACTGCTTACGAGACCAGTTCTAATTATTACGTAATATCGATATCATGTTTAGTCTTGATAAAAATATATATATACGTATTATATTTCTTTTATTAAGACCATTGAAGACTAAGATTTATAAATTCATTATAATTATTATTATGTTTTCTCGTGATTAAACTTTAAGTATCATGTTGTAAGGCTTATACGTACGTACTTTGTTCGAGCTATTTTATATGGAATATATTATAAAGTTCATTTTTTATGTCATTACGTACTAAGCGTACTAAGATAATAAAATCCAAATATATATAAGTTTTGTTGATGACAAATTGATGCACGCCGAATGTTAAATCTGGTGCTTTCAATCTAACCTTGTCTTTATTGGTATTAATGCATGTTGACAAGAATCAATGATAAAAAAGAAAGGCAAGAACTGTACAGGAGTTATACACCCATATGCTACCATAAAAAACTGTGGTTTACGTCATAATTAAAGCAATAAAAGCAAATAAAGCATAGAATCAATAACAATATTTTAACGTTAAGCATTTGTTTTTTAAAGGATTTTATGTATATTGGGATCTTTGTTATGAAAATCACCCTTCAACATTTTCCGATAGGGTTAATTCGGACAAACTTAGACCAACATACCAGTTCTTACTTGCGGGAAATTACCTTTTGCCATTATTAATTCAATAATTTATCGAATAAACTATTGAATTAATAAAGGCAAAAGGTGATTTGCCACAAGTAAGAACCGGTATGTTGGTCTAAGTTTGTCCGAATTAACCCTATCGGAAAATGTCGAAGGGTGATTTTCTTAGCAAAGATGTGCCTCAGATCAACTGACCTAAATTAGGATTATAACGATAAGGGTGTACGTAGATATAGTTTAAGTCAATCAGTCTACAAAACGGTCAATATCTGAGGTGCTTCAGTTGTCACCTGAGACAAATTTGTGCTGAGAAAAAGGACGAAATTGACAAAAAAAAGGTTTGCAGAAATGGATTTCTATATTATATATTCTATAATAAATTATAAGAAAATAAAAAATTTAAAAGAATTATACTGCAAAATTTTATTAAGATAATAACATATGTTCCTTAAGTGAAAATGGTTCTAAATTAATTTTGGATTCGTTAAGCTCAACAATAATAATAATAATAATAATAATACTGTAATAATAAATTTTAGAAAAAAAAAAATTGGCAGTTTCGTTCCTTTCTCAACACCTAGTCCATATTATGTTTGCTACCATAGTTGGCCGCAACGTAATAAGATGCGAAAGCTTGACATTTTATTACAAGTATAGGCTAATTAGGGTTGAAAATTACATTTTACAACTTTACATGTCATGTAAGTTTCAGTAACATGAATTTCACGTAAATTTTACACGTGATATAAAGTACCAACACTAAAAACTCAGCCAGCATTATTGATGATCAATCGATACGCGTATGATCATGATCACGTTCCTTACAACTTACATGAAAACCAAGCTTACGCAAAATCACACAAAATTACGTAAAATTACGTCCTCAAGACTACTGTACAGCTTGGACTAAAATACACAGGGTACTTTACGATTTATACTGGGTGTATCAAAAGTCTTTATGGTAACAGGAGGAAACGTTGATGTTACACAATTGATTTTACACACGGTGTGAAACACATAAAAAAATTTTTTTACAATAC